TCTACATGAATCCTCAGGGCAAGACGAGCATCGCTGTGCTACATGAGTACGTGCAGAAGGTATTAAAAGGTAGGCGGTGCTGACAGCGTCAAAGCAGACTGTTTATGGCTTGGCTAAAAATCTTTGCCGCTCGTGCTCTGTGTTGATGTGTTTTTAGTGATTGATAGATCGCGTTAGTTCAAAAGCTTCTCAAACGGCTTTGTCTGTAGTTTGTCAAGTGCATTCCACCACGAAAGCTCATAATATCGAGTCAAAATTTACCAATCGGCTTATATATGAATGAAGAAGTATTTACAGCAAGGTGGAGTTTTTAGTTCTTCAGACAGTGGGTTCTACTAGCAGTTCTATAACGAATAATGCACAACTCTATATTGTTTATATTCTTAATTTTGTGACTTTTTAGGCCCTGATTTTGCTGCGCTTACTTTGTACAGAGTAATAAATGCCCAAATGGAATCGCAGAATTTATGCATGCCATAAAATTTTTTATTCACATATTGTTTTGTGCTTCAGAAGAAAGGGAGATTGCGACCTTAGGAGATTTTTTACAAATGAGATAAGTTTCATGATTTGTTCTCCACGGTATATTGTCTTCAGTGCAACAGATTCTTCTGCCTTCCTTTCAGTTTTTACCAGGATAGTTCACTTTGCGGGCCAGCGTCTCAGCGAGCACCGTCCATATCTTATGTACAGACCGTTGCAGTGATGATCTGACGATCCGGAAAAGGACTGAGCCAAAACGGCGCTATTTCAGATTGCCGTAATCTGAAGTTTGTCGAACCTCATCACTCCAGTTATGCGTGAAGCAGCTTCGCCACCACCGAAAATAGTGAGCATGATGAAAATGAATAAACGTGGATGCTTCTCGCACATTTAATTATGATCTGACAATCATGCATAGGAAACGGTTTCCTAAAGCTACTATCAGTACTAATCTTTAAACAAGTTTCAGTAGCCATTGTGTAAATTTCTTTCCATGACTTTCGAAAGGGATGTGTCGAAACGACGTTTGTCCTGCTCTGCATACCAATTGGTCAATTTCGGTGGACACTTAATATTTTAGGTCATAGAAGCGGGGATGTTAAACAGTATCTCCAACGTTCTCAGTCCTTCGCCATCGCGGCATGATGGA